GTTAATTTAGGCGTTAATAAACTGTTTCAGAGGAGTGATCATAGCGCTCTGCATCAGCAGTGCTGCGTCCGACTCCCTGCCAGCTCCCAGATCAGCTTCTCTCATTGGTCGATGCGGCGCGTCCAGCAGCTAAAGGTCAATTTTTCCAACTACATCTGCTGCTTTTAGCGGCGTCACAGAAGCTCATGAGGTGCCGCTCTTACTGCTCTAGACGCTGCAGGACTTCTGGATGCACGTCAACCGTAGACTATCCATGTAAAGCTGCTGCTTCTGCAACTAATGTAAAGCGCATTAGATGTGAACGTGACATCAAAGCAGTCATCAGCAAAGTTTGATTCTTGCCTGTTTATTAAAAGTAGGCTTAAAAGCTGATTTTTACACCAGAAGGATTTGTCTTAGCCTTTAGTGTTTGTTTTTAGGGGTTTTATTGTGTGATTTGAACAGAATCACCAAGCTTCCTTTGCTGGTTTGTTTTTCACTCTTTGAATGCAGTTCTATAACGCCTGTACCCCCCCTTTGTCTTCTCTATCTACTTTTCTTCCCTTTTCCTCAATTTTAGACCGTTTCCATACAGCTAGCCGCCGAGTGTCATCTGCTCCAGCACCCCTTCACCTTTCTCCTGTTACCTGGTTCATCTCTCAGTATCTTAGTGTGTTTTCAACAGAATCAATGTTTGAAACTGGAAATTGTTTGTGTTTTAATACATTTCAGCATAAATAAAGTATATTAAAGTATAGCATGCATCCTGAGCTACCTCTATAGTTCCCCTGCTATAGGCTTAGACTGCTGGAGGACATAGGGACCCCTTTTTCCTCATTCTATCTCTATTCTCCCACTCTGCAGAATCTTTTATTCAAACCAGACCCACCTAAAGCCCAAGGATTAGTTTAGATGAGAATGATGAACCCACCTCCGTCTTCTGGCTGCAGGCCTTGTTGTAGTTGACCAGGCGGATGTTGGCCTCCTCAAAGGTCAGCTTGGTGGGGAAGCCGCTGAGGTTGTTGTTCTGGCCGATGACGTTCAGGATGTCCTCCAGGATCATCTGCTCCTTCATCACCAGGCCGTTCTCGAAAATCAGGACGATGTATTTCTCGTCCACCTCTGGTGGAAATGGAGCAAACGGACCGATTACCGACGACACTTTAACCTTCCACATCTATCTGCTCTCGATTCGCAGTCTGCGCTGATGCAGTGCACCAATGTCAAGAACGTGCTGGGCTTCTTTACTCACGGTCAGCGGAGCAGTCGTACCACTGGCCTCCCAGTTCCTGGGACATGTTGAGCTGGGAGCGCAGACGGAGGCACTCGTCCACTGTCGTCTGGAAGAAGAGGACTGGGAGCTTCCGGACGCGGCACCATTCACAGCTGATCAGCTCCGCTGTCTGAAGGCACATCTTCACGGTGCCCAGCTCTGCACCTGATCACACAAAAAAAAAATACATTCTGGGTTCTCTCTGAATCCAGAATCTCCTCCATGATGTATTCTTCCCTTAACAGAGGAGGCGGACTCAGGGACGGATTTACCATTAGCCAATACTAGGCAGCTGCATTCTGTTTACATGTATGGTTAAT